CCCGCATGTGCCTCTGTAAGGGCTGCGTGAGGCTTGTTTTCGCGGGGAGGGCGTCAAATTTATGTACGTCAGCCCTCGGTAACTCCCGCCCGTGATATATTTGCGACGTGAGCCAGACCTGAAAAAGCTTTGGTGGTGTAGTAGTGTACGTGCTTATGTAGCCGTGCTACAAGTCACCATCGCTGGCCAGACCTTCGGTGGCCGAGTCAGTCGATCTGGGGCATCCACACTTCCATCACGACCAATCATCTCGCAGTTAAGTTCACGATCGAGTGCAAGAATACGCTTTGCTTGAAGTTCAATTCTCCGACCGTTGCCAAATCTTCCTCAACGCCGTTTTTGCTGGCCAAATCCTCACATTGTTCGGAAGACATCCCATCTTGGAATAACCTTACGAACACCACAAATCCTCAGGTCGTCTCACCGTCATTGTTTAACATGCGGAAGGGCACGTCACCTGAAGCCTCAAGTCAAATTGCGACGCCAGAACAGTTCAAAAAATACCCCTTTTGGTTAGGCGGTAAGCCCTTGACCGACCATTTTTTTTCAGCCCACCGAGTTTCTCTATGAATAAATAATTCAGCCGTCACACCACCCACACAAATAGGTTGGGGACCTGCGCTCACAGCGAATCCTACCATCCTTGGTATCGCTCCATGATTTCTGCGTGCTCAGTGATGGGTGATGGAATAATCTCGTTGTTATGGTTGATCATTCTGAATATATTTGCCTTTGTCTGGTCACGGCCATTTGGTTCTTTAACAGGTCTGTCTGCTTCTATGGCCGCCGTCTTGACACATCCCCTGGATGTGGCCAAAGTGTACGCTCGCAGAAATTTTTTCATTACATGGCTCTCAAACAACGTGTCCCAATAGAATCTAACACTTTTTTTTTTTTTTTTTTTTTTTTTTTTTTTGCTTTCACGACGATGGATGACGTCTCTAGTCGGATGCAGACCGGACCTTCAAGGTCGATGTTTCGGACACTCATTCACGCGGTTCGGGTCGAAGGACTGCGGCAAGGAGCCTACGCCGGACTGACAGCGTCTCTGGCACGGCAGATGACCTACTCCCTCACTCGGTTTGGAGTCTATGACTCAATCAAAAATATGATGGCCAGATCTTCAGAGCAATCTCGCGGAGATGTCACCAAACTCTCGGCCGTTCATATGGCTCTTGCAGCAAGTGTGGCTGGTGCGGCGGGCGGACTGGCTGGCAATCCGGCCGATGTGATTCTAGTGCGGATGACGGGTGATGCTAATAATCCTCCAGCCCAGCGGAAAAGATACAAACACTGGTAAGTTTTGATGGGCAAGTCTGAGAATACGTACCGAAGTACCCCTATACATTTTAGCCTATGCTATTTGCTTCTCATTTGCTCTTCTCGGCTCTCTCGATATGAGTCAATGGGATTGATAAATGGTCCTTTGGATGTCAAATTCCACCAGCAAGACATATTCTCATGTCACTCAGCTGGGTTTGATAGGAAGGCAGCGGGTTGAGCATCATGTTTGTTGGTCACTTGAAGCTTCAAAAAACATGATCCTGATCAAAAAGCATTCGGTTTTATTTCATCTTTGAATTACTTCATTTCGTCATTGATGCCTGGTCGGCTGTACGTTTCGGTGTCCGCGTAGCTTTGATGGCTTGTGTCGAATGATCAAAGAAGAAGGAGCTGGGAGTTTAGCCCGAGGACTTGGTCCCAACGTTTCTCGCGCCGTGCTAATGAATGCGAGCCAACTAGCAACGTAAGTCGATATATAGAATATTCAACTCAAGATCATCCGCAGTCTACTGAAGCAATTTTCACGTTGGCTCCTTTTTTTCTATTTTTTTTTTTTTTTGTAGATATGATAGCTTCAAGGGAGCTTTACTAACAACAAAGTTCTTCGAAGAGGGACTTTGGCTACATTTTTGCGCAAGCTCAATGGCTGTAAGTGACCTCAAGACTCTTCCTTGCTGGACTCTTTGGACGTATGTTCCTAGGCATGAAATTGCCAGGGTGAGCTGTGGTTTTTGATGACGTTGAGCGGTTTTTTCTATGATTTTTCTCTGATGATTAGGGTGCTGTAGCTACTACAATATGTTCTCCCTTTGATGTGGTCAAGTCGCGTGTGAGTTCTCTGAACTACGACTAAATTTCCAGGGGGTTCGTCCCTAATGTGATTCATTGGCGGAATAATAGGTTATGAGCACTGCTGCTAGTAGTACCACAGTTCTAAGCGTGATTCGGGACTCATTCAGGAAGGAGGGCATTAGTTGGGTATTTAGGGGGTGGACGCCAGCCTTCATTCGACTTGGGCCTAACACAGTGTAGGTCACTTTGGTTCAATATAGTGCAAGACGAATGAGAATGACTGACTGATTGGTCTGGTTATGTGGGTGATTCAATAGGATCATCTTTGTCGGCTTGGAACAACTCAAACTCGGGTGGGATTTTCTCGAAGGGAGGCCATAAGGTGCTGCTGGCCGCCTGATAATGCCAGTCTCCCTGTGGCCAGTGCTGCAAGAGAGCCGTCTTTTTGCTAGATGTTTATATTTCTCGTCCTCTTCAATTCTCCATACATCCAATTTTGATTGTGCATAGACCATATTTTTATTTTGTGTACCTCTGAAATACACGAGCATGGAGAGTTATAATAACCAAATAGATTATAGATAGACGCTTAGTTGTAGCTCCCTTTTTTTATATTTTGTCTACTCTCTCCGAACTCATTGATGATTCATTGCAAACACTATGAAAACAGTTTTTGGTGGTATTTTGAAGCAGGAAGGGATCCCGTGTGCTCTCGTTGACAAGCGAGGTCCATGAGGGCAGGGCGCGTAGGTACGGTGACTTTGCGCGCTTTTGTGCTGGTGTGTGATGCTACAACAGATTCCCCATGGCAAGATGCTCATCAAAGGGACGAATGCCGCTTGGTCTAGATTGGACAGTTAACCGAAGGCGATGTAACAAAGTCATGATAAGACTGATTGGTGACTAACGAGTGTGCATGTTGAGAAAGTTCTGGTCGACTAAAAAAAAGCCCGTTTAATGAGGTCATCGTCGAGAATAAGACTCTGAACACTGACCAAGACCTGAGCGTTTGAAAAAGCACACTGGGAGCAAACGGCTTTAGACTGGATAAGCATCCTACGCTGTGCATTTATCTGCCATCGACTACGTATATGATTCGTGGTGTTGTTGCGTTCGCCTAGCAGGCTGTTCAAATTCTATTCCTTTTTTAAAAAAAAAGCCCACCTAATTCGATTTCTAGCACTACTGAATCATTGATACTCAATCCATCCACTACTTTTCTTTGCATTCACTTAAACTTTGAGTATCAAACCATTAAGCACGCCATCGAGTTGACACTTCTTCACAAGGTGCGCCTTCACAACAAGATGGAATCACACGCATACACAAAGCTACCCTCCCAATCCAAACCAGACTCATCTCTCGTTCTCCAATCACCCTTTGGCTGTTCGCTTACCCATGAAGAACACATTCTTCAAATCCGATACCCGCTCTACTTGCCACAACCTTTACCACCCAAAAAATATAGATCGTTTGTTTCGGAATGTAAAGATTTTTTGTTGAGAAGAAGACATACAGATGCAAATGTCTCTCTCACCGTCTTGAACCTATGGCTCTTCAATTTTCTTACTACCCTAAAAACCACACAAACTTCCAAAGAACCTTTTTATGAACTTCATGGGCGTTCTGTTTACGCTGAAGCATGCATGAAGGTGAGTTGGTTTTTTGTGTTGTACTTCGAACCTAGCTCTTAGCTGATACTGAACTACATTTTTTTTTTTTTTTTTTGTCAGCAAGCGACATTGATGATTCACAAAGAAGATTGTAAGGCCTACGCGATCAGTGCGCTAGAGCAGGCTAATTGGATCCTAAATCAGTGTAGCCAAAAACAACCTAACGAAAGATCTTCAAAAGCCTGGTATTGGAAGCATCAGATTTTCCGTTCTAGGGCGCATGCAATTCGCGCACGTGTGTACGCGCTCCGAGAACAAATTCCTGAAGCGCTTGAAGAGTATGATGCTGTGGTGAGAGAGTCTAAGAAGCTAGGTGTCGCTCACCCGGAGGCACGGGCATTATTGAAGGAGCGAAGAAGGCTAAGGCATGAGCACACCAGCTGGTGGTGGTTCCCAAAATAGCTTTGACCGTCTAGAGTTGGACTAGAAGAATGTTTGAAGGCTCCAAAGAGAAACTTGAAAATTGACTGTATTTCGACCGTCCTTGTTTGTTTTTTTTTTGTTTTTTTTTTGTTCTTTGTTTTTTTTCCATCAGTGTTGCAGCGCTTCATTTTCTGTGAACAACTTTCTCTGGGCTTGAGCTGTAAAACGCGAGGATAGATTGATTTGTGTCCAAGTGGGTTATCCCAAAGTCATGACTCTTCAATACGATATCAAAACGCAGATGGGTATTGGCTCTGGATCTTGGTGAGACCAAATAAGGTGACCACTAAATATAAAAAAAAAAAAAAAAAAATGAAAAAAAAACCTTAACTTATCTTTCTTTTTCCAAATTGTCCATTCAGAGGGAGCTCTTCTGTCTTGCGCAAGGCCTAACAATCTACATGTATCATATGTATTTATAAAGAAAGGGAAAAAAAGACAAGAAAGATGTGTGGAAGGTTGATGAATGGGAACAGTTTGGTGGTATATCGATATCCAATTGGCAACCCCCCCAAAAAAATAAAATAAAATAAAATAAAACAGCTCCATGGTCACCACTGCCCGGTTTCTTAATTGCTCATTCACAAAAACACTCAAAATTGGCTTGGTGACAACCGCCTGGAATGTGAGAAAGAAGATGTGAGATGAAGAGCTCTTGAATTGGATAACATAATCATTTCGGGCGGTCTAAGGATACGAGAGTGGGAGGTCCTTAGTAGACACTCCCTCCAAAAAAAGAAAAAGGTGAGATTGATTAGATCTCAGGCTTCACGTAGCACAACAGGAAGGGTGGTTTTCAGGAGTTGGGATTGGAAATGACGTCATTGTGCGACATTGGTGTAGCGGTTAGCATTGAAGCCTTCCATTGAGAATAGCTTTAGTCCTGGGTTCGAATCCCGGATGTCGCATTTGTTTTTCATGTGTGATCCGGCAACATATGCAATAACCTTTTGCCATCATCACCCCTGCTAACAAAAGATGCACTTTGACAAGGCAGTGGTAGTGTTGGAAATTTAGAGGAACCTGGAAGGATAAAAAAAAAAAAGCTTTATTAGCTTTCTCATGAACACAAAGGTACTTTAAAAAGGGGATTTTACAGTCAATTTGATTAGATATAGGTAGGGTCATCACTTTGTTGCATTTATTTCGACCATGTCATAAGTTTGTATCAGGCCTACTTGGAATCATGTCATTGTGTAATTTTGAGAAAAAAAAAAAAAAAAAAAAAAAAACAGTGCGTGTTGCTCTTTCTTTATTGCTACATGTTAATCCAGTCTGTTCTGTGTATGACCTTTTGTATTGATTATTTACATCCCTAACTCTTGTTGTTGTTGTTTTTTTTTCCTGTTTGGAAATTCTCTGTAATTTGTTTTATGAGAGAGCCTGTTTTACCTCCTTTCTGTCAAAGGCTTGTGATCTGATTGTCTACCACCTTGCCTCAGCTCTTGTTGAGTCTCTTTGTCAACAAAATGATCTTTTATTCAAAACTCAGCTGACAGCTTTTTTTTTGGGAGCTGTATCAACTCTGGCCCACATCACCGTAAGAGTATCATACTGTAAAACTGATCGACCATGAACTACTTTGCGTCCTAAGCTTCAGTCTCAAATGAACAGACACATGAAGAGAAATCAATAAGGATTTAAAATGTCGCATTCTAGAGCAAGAACATATTCTACTTTTTTTTTTTTTTTTTGGAAATCTTATGTCAAAATCTGATATAACTCAGTTTATATGTTATAGCGTATTTTCTGACTGGTGTACCTAACTTGATCGTAACCAAAAAGTGAATAAGACTATCTGTATGACAACTGATTACTCAGCTTTTGTGCCTTATACGCCTGTATACGCCTCTTTCCCTTTTCCCCTCTACGCCACCTCGATAGCGCCTCAGATCGTCAGCCATCACATCTTTTCAACGATATCTGGAATGTGTACAATGTATGACGTCGAAGCTGTGATCGTAGGTCTCATCAGCTCTCCTCATGCTTGAGCAAGTTGGTAGCCCACCTGAGCTAAACAAATACCGCAAACACAAGAGATAGGAGAGAGAGAGAGAGATCATTACTGGGGCCCCATCTACTTTTCTTTGAATACCCAATTGGGACTTTTGAATTATATGAATTTAACTTGGATTCTTCATATGATCATTAAAGGGATCAATTACCTGGAGTGCTTGAGTGGGGAAAATCGATTTGGGATTGAGTTGAGAGCCAACACGAATGTATGAGCCCCAAAAGGCCATAGAGATTAGTAAGAAAAAACGAAAATCTCTGGTTCACCATCGCAGATTTCAGCCTGGGTTGTAACCAATTAAATTGGTAAGGGAGAGTAGGAAGATATAAATAAATCACAAGTTATGCAGCTAGAAGTACCAAAATAGCACAGCAAGCTTTCATACAACACATGAACACACACACACATACACCAAGAAGTCAAGATTGATTTCAAAATATATAGAAAAGAGAAGAAGGAGATAATTGAATGTCAACAGAATTGAGGGCGGAAGTGAGCTCTATAGGAAATCACAAAGTGAAACATTGGGCAAAAGAATATAAAGTAAAGTTGAATGCGATGGATTAGGACACCAAACACGAAAGCTTTCGAGATGATGTGAAATCTGTTTTGATGTGATACTTAATTAAGAAGCGCCATTCGAAGAGTGAGATGGTATGAGTTGAGATGATCAGGCTGATGAGTTGAAGTTGAGCAAGTATGAATGAGTATATTGATGAAGTGATTTTAATTGTAATAAGTTTGAGTTGAGTTGGTGACCGAATTGATTGAAGTGTTTAGATTTGAGTGGTAGCGAAGTAAGTAAGTAAGTAAGTAAGTAAGTAAGTAAGTAAGTAAGTAGGTAAGTAAGTAAGTACAGTTGTGTAAAATTGTCAATAAGTAAGTAAGTCAGTAAGTCAGTAGTACCACACTCACACCACACCACGATGATTAATCTGAACTGAGTCTCTCTCTCTCTCTATCATTTTGATTCCCTTACAACAAACACAAACACACACTCTCAGTGATTCCTTCCTGCTTTACTCACTTTATAACCTAACCAATTCAATCAATCCATCAACACTTTTAACCCTCAACTACTTACCATTCCCTTTCAATCTTTCTTCTTCAACTTCACTTTTTGCTTTTTTTCACATTTAAAGTTTTTTCGAATTATAGATATCCATCATCCTCATGACCGGTTCAAATCGTTCAACTCGTGTTCGACTTCGATTATTTCCTTCCTCTAATCCCAAATTCATATCAGAACCAATCTTACCTTATACAATTCCTGAAGCGACTCAATCTGCTCCCGATTTAACTTCTCCTACTCTCGACTCTCATCCAAACAACGATCGTCGACCATGGGATTGGTTAAACTCAAATTCAACCTTACCTCTACCTCTACCTCCACCTCCACCTCCATCACCTCCTCCATTACCACCACTTTGCCCTATCTCACCTCTCACACTTCATTTACATTCAACTCCCTCTAATTCTACCATTCAAAGCTCTTCAACATCAACTCCATCAAAACTCACTCCTCAATCTCCTAGATCTACTAGACTCGAACGTCGATTTCAGGCCTTACTCGAACTCTGTGACACCGAAGCTGGTTATCTACGCGATCTTCGAATCCTTGTTCATGGCTACCTTGCTATTCTCGACCGAGCTCCGTTTGTGAGCTCAGATGACAAAATCGTGGTTAGAAGGAACGTCGACCAAGTTCTTGAACTCGCTGAACGCTTCTCTCGTCGGATCTCATTGGCTGTCGGCTCAAAGCTCGAACTTTGGAGAACACCGGGCTCAGCCAGAGATGAATTCGAGGTCGACAAGCTCATCGAACGACTAGCGAAAGCTTTTATCAGTGAGGTTAGTCACTATCATATATGTCCACAGATAACTTCTTAACCCTCGGAGGAACATGGGCACATCGCCAGCTGTTGAAAAGCTCGCGGCGCTCTTATCACTGTGCTAGTTCACTTTCAGCTGATCTCAATCCCCCTACTCTTTCTCCTTCAGTCTCCCATCTTCATAGTTTACGAAGATTTCTGCGCACGACACACCGAGGCTGCCGATATCATTAGGGACCTTGAAGCCAGTCCGGAATGGATTGCGCTCCTACAGCAGAGTCGAAGTGCTGAGACCTCCCCAGCGCCATCCGGTCAACCGTCCTCCTCTACCTCACTCGCACCTTCCATCCCTCAAATCACCTTTCAAACTAGTTTGGCCTCACTGGGTATGATTCCTTCGGTCCCTAGCCATTCCCGTTTGAGGCTTCAGGACTTTGCCATCAAACCTATCCAGCGCATCATGCGATACCCACTTCTCTTAGCAAGCTTACTCAAATACATGGATGGTGATTCAAACCCAGCTGAGGTGCGTGCGCGAGACAAGGTATATCAGGCCTTGGGGGCCATGAAGGAGGTGGCGTCGGGGGTGGATGATGCCAAATCATCGAGGGAAGTCGAGTTAAAGACTGAACTTATTGCCAGCCGAATGGAATTACACTCTGTAAGACTGTTCTCTTCCCTTCCGTCTCGATCTCGTAAATCCTGATCCTGCGCATCCGTAGTCCTATCGTGCAGCCTTTGTCTCCCTACTCGGTCAAATTCAACTCGTCGGGTCCCTCCACGTGCTCTATCATGGGCCAGTGCTCGATCCGAGCGAGGCTTTCAAGATCAAGTATCACGGAATCTTTCTCTACCAAACTCATCTTGTTATCGTCAAGGTCAAACGCACCACCGTCTACGAGCCCCGGCACTGGTTTCCGATCCGTTACTTTGAATTGGTTGACATTCCCGAATGCTCGGGTCGGTCTGTCATTCACTTTCATGAATCCTACTCAAGACTACAAGACTCTCGAACCATCTGACTTCTCTGTCTATTTGGGCTTGAGCCTGTTTGACTCTCGCTCTTAGGTCTCATGCCCCATTCTTTCAGTCTCAAGTATCGACACCACACCTTCGATTTCGGAGCCACATGGGAACCCGAGAAGAAACTCTGGATGGATAAACTCAAGGTGGTCAAGGACGAGGTGGAAAACATGCGAGCGATTCATCTTCAGTCGGACCTCCCTCTCAACGATGACTCGATCGTCTCGAGCATCAACCTCGACGAGTCCTCCTCTTCCACCGCCTCCACACCGCCTGCTTCTGCGCCCCCCGATCCTAAGCTCCCATCGGCTGCTAGTGGCCCTTACTCACCAGACCTGACTGAGGATGCACTTATGTTGAATGAGAAGGAAGATAGCCCAGAAGATTCTCCGGCCGTTACACCTCATTCGGCCGCCCATTCACTATCCTCTGCCCATCTGCAGCAGTCTCGGGTCTCCCAGCGACTCTCACGCAACGTCAACACACTCCTTGGTCGCACGCCTGAGGTTGCACAGGCCGCCATTGACCTCAAGCTCACTGAAGTCTTCTCGGATCTCCTCTTGGCTGCACGCATGCAAGGTCAGCGCGAGCAAGAGCTCTCGGACCTGACCAGCCGCCAGCGCACGCTCTCAGGTCCGGGTACAAACAAGCGACATAGTCAGTACCTGCCCACAGCTCCCGGTACGGCGCATTCTTTCAGCCGGGCGGCGGACCGGAAGATGAAGCGGATGAGCTACATGGGCCCTTCGACTCGAACATTCATCGATCCATTCGCCTTCAAACCGTTCGTCGAGCCAGCCGCTGAGCTCCCCCCACTCCCACATGAAACTGTGCTCGCCTCGCCTGTCTCTGTTAAGTCATCGTCCAGCAGCTTACGCCGAGCTAAGACCGGTCCGCCAACAGAGCGCCCGACGTCGATTCATGATCTTTGGCGACTGAACCGAGCCAGCACGACCACCCCTACTTCACGCTCCAGGCCACCTTCGACTGTGCTTCAGCCCTCGCCCACGCGGTTACTGATCGAGCCTCTTCGGGAGAA